CTCCAAACACCAAAATATCCCAGTGAGAAAAAGTCCCAGTGAAGTCCCCAAGGGTCTAGTGCCCATGGTACCAGAAGGAGACCCAAAGTTAAAATGAAAATCTGCATATTTTTTTTTTCTGATGCCCCAGCATAAATAGAAGCAAATAAAGTGCTTTGAATCTGACCCTGAAAGTGCTGACTCATTAGAATTTGTGCTTTAGTACCTCGTATTTGCCTCCATGCCATTCACTGCCCTGTTGCAGTAAGCTCTGAACATGCAGACGACACACCCAATCACTCTTTCTAGTATCTCCTGCAAGGGCTTGTATTTTAAAACGAGAAGACAGACAATGCTCAAGGGAAGAAGTGTCCCATTTTACAGATGGGGAACTGTGATACAGGCTGATGCATTTCTAAGTAGCTTTCTGAACACTCGGGTATTTGCATGCTTGTTGAGAACATCTGTGACTTTAGGTTTGCAAGGCTTTTCAGGACATTGTACAACACCCTTTCCCACAGTATCTCTCTTCTCTTTGATTCTTCACTTACCACAAGAAAATATTTCACGACAGACCTTTGAACATGCAGGAGATGCTCTGTGATCATGGGCTGAAAGGTGTGGGCCCTGTCACGAGGGGGTACTGAGAAGGCTTCTTTTGAGGTTGCTCGTGTAGGTGATACTCATGTGATGTTTGGTGAAATTCTTACCACATACCTTATCATGTCTCTTCAGCAGACTTTCCATCTGTCTGCAAGGCGGGTTTTGCTTCGTTATCTCTGAGCATTTCTTACAGGATGGAGCAAGAGAGTAAAACCCTAGAAGCTGTCAGTCATCTGAATTACAGTGATGAGATATCATGAGTTTAGAGTACTACTCTTTCTTACCAGTAGCTCATGATGGCACCAACTAACATCTATTACCAGGATATTAGTATTAGTCTAATTTGGGATAAGATTTCTCTTTTTATGGTTTCCTTTCACTGGAAGATTGCATCATGAGGCCATGCTGCATCCCTGGTGCAAATATCCAATATCATACATCCTATCCAATAGAAATTTGACATTGGGTTGTACATGATAGCAGGGACTAAATCAGACCAACTACAGGGTCACCAACTCCAGATGAAACTTTGTCAGGCATAGAGAGTCTGAGCTCACTTTTATCTGGTTTTGGCTGTTATAGTTTTGTCTGGGATAGACCTAATTTTTTTTCCCCTTAGTAGCTAGAACAGTGCTATGTTTTGGATTCAGTATGGGGTTTGATATGAGAAGAATGTTGATAATGTACTGATGTTTTCAGCTGTTACTAAGAAATCAAGGACTTTTCAACTTCTCATGTCCTGCTAGTGCAGACACAAGAAGTTGTGTGGGAGCACAACCGAAACAACAGTCCAAAACTGGCCAATGGAATATTCCATATCATCTATCATCATGCTCAGTATATAGATAAGGGTTAATAGGGAAGCTCTCTCTGGCTTTTGGAGTTGTGGGTTTAGGATTCTCTCTTCTCTGGGATCACTAGCTGGGAATGGGCTGGGCATTGGTCAGCAGGTGGTGAGCAATCACATTGTGCATTACTCCTTTGTACTTATTTTATTTTATTTTATTTTATTTTATTTTATTTTATTTTATTTTATTTTATTTTATTTTATTTTATTTTTAAATTCTTTTTGTCTCAACCTATGAGTCTTCTTACCCTTACCTCTCCAACAACTCCATTCCCTGGGGGTGGGGGAGGATGAGCGAGTGGCTGGGTGGTGTTTGGCTGCCAGCCGAGTTTAAACCACGACACCTGTTTTGTATAACTATCCTCCTGAAGCAAAACTTAATATCGAACATGAAAGCATTTCTTAGATAGGAATAGAGTTTTATAAGTGAGCTACCCCAAACAATTACTTAAAACATGCAGTCTTTAGAAATAACTTAAAATTTATGAATAAACAAACAAATCAGATATATTGTCTGCCAAAACTAGTTTGGCTAGCTGTAGTTCATAGCCAGAAATTATTCACTTCATGCTTCACAGTCATACTTAAAATAATCAGCAATAAACTTATCTCCCAGGTGCATTTTGAATGTCTGAGACACATGTAAAAATAAAATCATGTTTTACTTATTCAGTAGCCCACTGCAAATCAAATTATGGACATTACACCTGAGTAAATGCTGAATACAGAAGACAGTGGAATTTTTGAATCTCACCCCTGTTACACTGGTGAGCAGCTCACCTGCCTTGAGCCATACGTGTGGAGACCTGTCTCTCTAAAGATTGAATTGGGAAGCACAGTCTAGGTTTGGTTCTGTACTCTCTCCCAAGACATTATAGCTCAAGCTGAGTTGAAGAAGTTGGGGGACAGATCTAAATAGCTGGGCTGAGAACTGCAGATCTAATGTAGTAGGTGAACCCCTCTTCACAGCACAAAGCAGTCCCTGCAGGCTCACTGGTAATGTCCCTGCAGGAGGAAAGGATGGAAAGATCTACACAATCAATTCGCCCTTCAGATCTGCTCTGACCTGGGTAGTGTCCTTTGCTGTGTCTCTAGCAAGTGTCCCAGTGCCCAGACCCTTCCTTTGCCTGTATGGCTCAGTCAGACACTGTGTGACAAAACAGATTGCATCCCTCAATTTATCACATGAGAAACAGTCGGCTTATCGGATGGGATAGTTTAACAATGTGGAAATAGCATTTCTTGATGTCCTCACTCAGATGTGAAGCTGCTTTTCCATTTATCCAAAGAAATCAGGATTTGCAGTTTTCCCCTGTGGATACATTGCTTCGTACCCTGGTCCTTAATCCCTCTTATGGAATATTTTAGTTTGGAAAGCACCTCTGGAGATCATCTAAGTCATCTTCAAAGTTGGATCAGGATGTACAGGGCCTTATTGCCCCTAAGGCTTTTATTTCAGAGTGGATCTGAACAAAGAAGCTCCAAGGATTTTCATTAAGAGAAGATGCATAATGATATAGTAATTCAGAATGGTGTGTAAATTAGGCAAGGCAAAAGAATGACATAATGTTGCATCAGACCCTGCTAATCCCTGTCCCCTGCACCTATGGAACTGGGCTCCAGTATTGGTTGCTCTAAAGATACTCGCTTTTTATCAGAGGAAAAATATCAGATTTCTAAGTTCATTGAGATACCTAATTTGCATCCATTTCAATCAGTTTAGAAGTCTGTATCTTTGGTTTCTTCTAAATTCACTGCTGTTATTCATCAGAGTTTTACATTTAGACTATGAAAATCCTGAGGTTGGGGCAGTTTGCATACATGTTCCGAGATTAATCACCATTCCTCTGGCTGACTGGGCTGCTGCGAGCAATGCCTGCTGCTGGTGTTTTTAGTAATGGAAAGTTTGATTTTCAGCAGAGTTACAGATATTCAGCACTTTGCAGATCTTTCCTTGATACCTTAGAGAGTTTGATCTCTGGGATGCATGTGAAAATACAAACCCACAGTTTGTTAATTAGCATCACGACAGAATTTCACATTTTTCCAAGAAACTATCTGCTATTCGCTATTTCGTGAACTACTTTTGAGGACACAAACATTTCATTGGTAGATGCCGGAGGAGTCATTAAATAATACAAAAATTAAATATGTCATAAATACAATAAATTGAGGAAATGCCATTTTGGCACAATTCTGCTTTGCAGAAGTGTATAGAATAAAGCATAATATACAGAAGTACTTATAACAATTTTAGAACATTCAAAGTATTTACATTAACACTGACTAATGTGAGTTCAATTCAGAAATGTGAACAGTAATAACAATTTAAAAATATTACAGAAATACAACATTGCAGATGAAATAGAATGACTCTGTGAAACATTTTACGATCTTGTACTCAGATAAACATTTAATTGATTCATGATCTTTGTCTGTTTTACTTTGATCACATAAAAATATGAAGAAGCTGTTCAGATAAATATTGCCAGATTTGTATCATTCTTTTTTTTTTTTTTTTTTAAATAAATTCTGGTTTCAAGGCACAGGAAGCTGCTATCAATAATTTATTCACAGCAAAAGTGGCAGCAGCGACAATGAAATCTGCCCCAGCATAGTCTCATGTACGCACCACCCGCATGTCCGAGGGAGCCCCTCCTTGTCAGTGAGGCACTTAACTCTTGCACAGACCCCTACACACCAAAAGTTGGATCAATACCAAAAGGGAAGAGTTAGCTTAGTCAGAAATGTAACGCAAGTTCAACAAACGTTCAGAAATGGCATAAAACCAGTCCATGGCACCACTCGGAAATATATAAATTTTCTATATACTTCAGTGCATTCCAGATTCAACTGCAAAATAAGTAAAATATACTAGTTGTAAAACATCAAGCATCAGACTTGTACTTTTTAAGAGTTTCAGGGCAGTGTAGGATCCTGACTAATACAGTAGAAGTACCGTTGATATGTGTTATCAGGCCACTGTTTTGTCCTTTAACCCTCCCCAGAATGTTCAAGGTAGATAAAGCTGCATACTGAAGTATTAGGAACATTTTCAAGGCTCTCGTTGAAAGACTTCCTCATTTTTAATATTTTCCACTGGTTAACCACAAACGTTAACAACAGAATACGTGTATGAGAATCTGAACATGTACCTCCTCAAGGACTAAAAATTTCAACTATAAGAATGGGCCCTACATTGCTCTCCTCAGCAGGGAATTTTTTTTTTTTTTTGTCCATCTCTGAAGATAAAACTGGTTCTGAATTATGTGAGGAAAAGAACCAGTCCAAAACCCAAGCTTTTAAGATTTCAATTTGAGTCAAATTACTTAGTTTATTCCACACATCCTTCACAAAGCAATACTTTCGCCAATGAAACCAGTGGGAAAACTTTACTGTAGGAGACAAACAGAAATATGAAGTATTGCTCCAGCAGCGTCCTCAAGGAGTTGCTGGCCCATGCACTATGACAAAACTTCGTACGGACGTCAGCATGTAAATAAATACTTGTGTGCTACAGTCTGCAGCCCGCAGCTGGTGTTAGGAACTTATTCGTGTCAGCACCTAACTGCTAGCTACCACCTTCTTCGTCTTCGCCACTATTACAGATCTTTTGAATGTCAGATGAACCTGGTGTTTCTTTGTTTTCTTCTCTTAGTCCTCCTTCCTGTGATTCTTTTGACATTTTCAATTTTATGCTGTCAGTCTTGTGATTAATAGATGAATTTAGCCTGGATGAGTTCAATCTCCATCTTCTCAGACTCCTATAAAAATCTTTTCTGACGTTTTCACTAACCAGCACATAGATGATTGGATCGGCAATGCTGTTTGCAGTGGCTAAACACAGAAACACTGTAAAAATTGAATATATCTCCTTTTCAAATGGACATGAGCAATTTTGATGAAACATGAAGTATATGGATCTTATTATGAGTACCACATGGTAGGGAGCAAAGCAGATCAGGAAAATTACAATAATGGCTATAGCCAGATACTTCACTTTGGCTTTTTGGTGACAAGTCAAGCTGCTGCTTGTTTTTGTACTTTGGAAAATTTTGTAGTTTGTGAAAATGAGGATTATGAAAGGTATGGCAAATCCAAACAGGAATCTGGCAAAGCTGAAAGAAGCCAGTTTTATGTCAAGAGGCAAAGTCTCAAAGCAGGTCTTATTTTCTGGTTGATCTTCCATGTAAAATACTGGCGTGTGGATTATTGCAACAACAGCAAAGAGAAAAAACACTATTATGATTGCCTTTTTCTGTCCTCTTCTCCCCCTTGACTCCAGAGCATACACCAGTGCCACGTAACGATCCATAGAAATGCAGCACAAAAGCAGAATGCTGATGTATATGTTGCAGAAAAAGATGAATCCTGTTATTCTGCAAGGCTTTGCACCCATAGTCCATTGATGCTCATTTTGCACGTAGATAATCCAGAGAGGCAAAGTACTTAAATACATCAACTCACACACTGATAAACTGAAGATGTAGATGGCGATTACTTTATTCCTTTGGATTTGTACAAATGTAAGAAGGGAAGTTAAGCAATTTGCTGGAAGACCTATGGCAAAAACGATGCTGTAAACAGCAACCAGAAGTGTCTTGCTGTCTTTGTAGGGAATTTCTGTGCAGGTGGAGCTATTATTTGTGTCTGTACAATTTTCCATTATTCTTTTTCCAGCTGGTGTTTCCTGAGAATCAGAAGACAAGGTGGAAAGTTAGCGTTTGCATCACCTAAAAATGTGTCAGTAAAAGTTATGGTCCAATAGGTGCCAACAGGACATGTCAGGGGAACGAGTTGGACACTTGTCTTGGGAAAGCATCTAAAACAAGTTTTCCAAGACCTGCTGGTCTTCTGTACTGTTCCCTGGGAGTCAAGTGTGGTGTACTTCCAGGAAAAAGTACCTTTCTTCACAAGGAATTTCTTGACTTCAGCATGCCAATTCATTAAGACAGGGTATTGGAGACTGTCCCTATACCAGGCTGCCTCATCAATAAGACAGAGCTGCTGATCACTTACTGAAATCACTTCCCAGAGGAAATTAAGGGCATTGGTCTTCAATTCATCTTTTTTTTTCAAACTGAATAACAAAAAATGCCATTAGTAGAGATTTCAGAAGCAGACTTCCAAAAGAAGCTATCATTTATGGTCAGTCAGGTGGGGGGACCATCTGAAGTGGGTGGTGGTGGTTGTTCAGAGACCACCCAGCATTCAGGAAGCAGAATCTGGCCACTGGTGGGTACCTCCACAGTGTTTACAACACAGTGGTTCAGATCTAGCTAATTCATACTTCTGTCCTCCCTCCTGATAATGAGCTGAAGAACATAAACTCGTAGTGGATATAATACCCACCATAGTAAGCCAGTGAAGCTGCCTACCACATCTGTTTGATGCCTCTGGAAAACAACAGGAAACAAAGGCAGATGGAGGAAGTAAACAAGACCAAAGAGAAGAAAATACACCTATTTGAGAAACAGAGGCAAATTTAATGCTCTTTGAACAGGACTGGTTATGAAAAACTCCACCTTTCCATGATGACCATGCACAAAAGCAGACCTGGCATGTGGTTAGTGTTAAGTAGTGCTAGGAGAAGCATTTCTTGCAAAATCATGGGATGACTTCCATGCAGAAGTCTTCTCCAAGTGAACAGAGGAGTATGGAGGGGGGTGCACCATAATGGTAGTGTAAAGAATTGTACTTTGCTGTATTTATGAGTTGCAGATGTCCATGGTGTAACATCCTTGATACAAGGAGGTCTTGACTGACTTAATCTTTTGGACATTCTCTTATGGGGTGGACGCCTGCTCCAGGGAACAGCCAGCTAACTCCACAAGAAGGAGATATCTTGACAGAGACCGAGTCCCTTCAGACAGAGGAGGGGCATGGGTTTTCCCAGTCCACACTATGCATGAGCAATTTCTTTAACTCTGAGTTCATGCAGTGGAGAAGGTAGCTTTTAGCAGCCTCAGAACATTTATTTTTTGCTTGTTTGGGTCCATCTCACGCAGACCACGGAGAAATAGTCTGCTTCTAGTGCAGTGGGAGCATCTCCTGCATCTCTGAGAGGGTGGGCAAGCTGGTGGGGCCATTCCTTCCCCTCCGTGTGGGCAAGAGTAGTCCCAGGGATGGCACAAGCAGCTCCACCCTGAATGCCTAACAGAGCACCTGTCATGCAAGATCCCCTAGAGCCTGAAGGACAATCAGGTCCCCTGATTTAGTTTAGTTATCAGATAATGAAAGCAGTGTAAGAAAATGGACACAGATTGCCCTAGGCTATGAGACTCTCACAGCTGCACAGTGCTAGCCACAGCCATAAACACCAGGAGAGGATCTCCTGACCAGTATTCAGAGGTGTTCACTTCCATCAGGTACCTCAGAGCAAACAGAGCCCACTCAATGACAGCAGCTTCTGAGTGAAGATGTCTTGGCAAGTGAACAGATGGGACAGAGGCAAGTGGTCCCTGCTGTGCCCGGCACCAGCAGCAGAGCAAGCTGCTCCCTGAGGTGAGGACGTTTGAAAGGGGCTTCCACAGACGGAGGAACTGAGAAAGTGCGCTGTGCATGGAATAAGTACACGGAGGGTGCAACTATGCTCTGCAACTGCCTCCCACTTCCCCTCTGTGGCAAACCATGCTCCACTCATGCTGACACGTTGATGAGGGTTAGGGGGCAGCTGGTCGCTGCGTTAGTTGGTCTGAAGTGTCTTGCCAGAGGGCCACATCCCTCCACATCTGAGAATCAGACTGGAGTCCGGTGGGTATGTTGAAGCCCTCTCAGGGGGGATCTGAAGTTTCCTTTAGTTTAAAATGCACCATCTTAAGCACAATTGGAGAAGAGGATCCTCACTGCTGTGAGAGGAAGACAGCATGGTACTCAGACGGGCTGTGGCAGGCTGTCTGCGTGAGAGGGTGTAAAGTTACTTCCCTTCTTTTCTAGCAGTGAAAGTGTACTCATAGCTGGTGTTAACTCAGAAAAATGATGGCTGTGATAAGGGCTGGTGGTGACTTGTGTTTTTTGCTGCCTCTAGGCATCTGCCACCCTTGGTGAATGAGGTGGGGTCTTCTCTGGGCCACCAACCAAACCGCTGTGTAGAGGGGATAAAAACGGTGCTTGATTTCAGGGTCAGGAGCGGTTCTCTGCCCAGACTTCACCTGGGCCATGGCAAATGAGAGCTTGTCCTCAACTCAAACGTGTCTGACCACCGTGAGAGCTGCTGTACACCTGCACACCAAAGAGTTGTCTTGGAGACCTCCCCTTCTAAGGTAAAGCACAGCAGGTGAACACAACTCATACGGTGACAGCCAGGATGGGGACGCGGCACAGTCGCACGCCGTCTCAGTTACTCAGTGGCTGTCTACCCCAGGCATGCCTTAACAAAAATCCCTTCAAGAGTGGTTGAAGGTGTACTCTCCTCCCCTCCCCCTGGGGTTTGAATGCTTCTCTTGACCCTGAGTTTGCCCGAATATTCTCCTTTCTGCACTGCCTACGCCTGGTGTTTGCCACTCATTGTGCAAAGACACGCTTACCCCGGAGTTACCTGTCTCGCCAGCGAGCAGCCAGCGATGCTGCGGGGCAGGAAGGAAGTGGTAGAAGAGTTATTCTGTAGACACATGGTTTCAAATGTTTCTTTCTCTTGTCTCCCTCCTTCACCTCCTCCCTTCCTGCCCTGCTCCAAGTCTCCTTCCAATTCTTAGCACCCATGAGTGAGCCTCAGGAAGGAGATGCCTGTGACTTTTTAAGCTGCCTGCATGGAGCATGCCTTTTTTTCTTGGCTCATGACATATGGCCTAAGCCACAGGGCTGAGGCTGAGCTGAAGAAACCTTCACCCTTAAATGACTGTCAGCTGCCAGGCGCAAAGCCTCAACTGACAAAGTGCAGCCACAGGCATGACTTTACACTTGTTGAGAAAAAAACATGTGCTGAATGCCTCCCCTGGAGGTCTGGCTTGTCAGCTCAGGAGCCTGGATCCTTCCCAGCAGTAATGCTCTCCGTCCGAGACCCATATCAGGAAAGAAGAGAGGAAGGCATCCATTTACTCTCCTCCCTCACCTTCTCCTGGCTCTCTTCTGGCCCTGGCCACCTGGGCATCCAGCCCCAGTTCTGAACTTCACTTGTCTCGGCTCAGCTCTCCAGGCCTGCAGGGGTGTTTCCTCCCCAAACTGAAGATCAGAAAGGAGCACTCAGCAGACTATGAAATTTTTCTCTCTGATATTGCCCCTCTGCAATTGAATGCACATTTTTATTGTCTTCTCAGGCCTTCAGAGTTTTCTGTTTTGATACTTGGGTCATTCCCAGTTTTGTCTTCTGTGGAGGCTGGGCTGTGATGGATGTATCCCCACATCTCTTGAATATAGCATTCCTAGCTGTACTGCTTTATCTAAAGATGCAGCTGCCTACCTGTGAGCACTTTGTTGTGCACACTGATGCAGGACTGGAGCAGGCTAACTTGCATATCAGATATTCATTCAAATTAAAAAAAAATATAGTAGTTACACAGCTGAAAAAAAAAATACCATTTCAGTGTCCATTTTCTGCTAATATTTGTGATGAGCAATTTTAGTGATTGAAATGTTGATAGAACAGCAGAACTTAAGAGATTTATCACATCCAGCATTATAAGGGGTCAAACATAGCTGTGATGCCAAGGATGAACGATATCCAAGAATGCATTTGTGAGAGACAAGCTGTTTCACTGCATTAGGTTTCTTAGCTGCCCTGTAGCTTTCAGTTGAGCAAAGCCTGTCCAAAGGAGCTATTCTCACCTTTCTGTGATCTATCGTGTCCTGCTAGGGCTCACAAACAATTAACTAGGCATTACATCAGGTCCTGGCTGTTATTTACATCAACAGCTCAATGTGTATTTAACAGCACTCCGCGAGGCTCACTGCACAGAAAAACCCTCAGTCAGCACGTGCATGTTTCTCACCTTCAAGACATATAAAACATCTCATCTCCCAGGACAGAGACACCACCTCTGGCTCAGGAAGCACCTGACAAATCACTGGAAAATGGGGTACTCCACTAAGGAAGATTTGCTGTGTGCCTGCTCTGTGTTTCTCTTCCCCGGACATCTGCTCTTGGTCTAGGTTATAGCCACAGTATTGGGGTAGATAGGCCTAGCATTTCTAATGTTGTTGAGCCATGTTCACACTGTTAGATGAATAGTTAATTATATTTCTTACTCCTAAAACAGAATGCCTACATGCTCTAACATACTGAGACCTTATGGAGAGGAAACCCTGGAAAAGGGCAGGGCCCCTGGAGATGCCGAAGTAGAAAGGGTTGTAGATGGAAGAGGCATGATGGATGTGAAATCCCATTTTTTTGAGGTGTGGTGAGAAAGCAGCAGAAGTGTCTTGCTGCAGACCCACCAAGCAGGGCTGTGAAACCAGATGGAGATTGACTGCCTTTTCCTCACCTTCTCTTTGACCCAGTGCACCTTGCAGTCCTCGGGGCAGGTGGCCCAGATTTACCAGGAGGAATGGAAAGGTGCTCTTTCTCAGGCTTTCCTAGAAAGTGACAGAATTCAAATACCAAACTGGTGTCTGGTCTAGAAATCAGATCTTCCATCTTGTGAACAGAGGCCAAAGCACTGGTTTGTCGTGCAGGAGAGCCTGTGCGATGGTCATCTGTTGTTTCCCCTACCCAGCATCAGGAGCATTGAACTATCCTACAGAGGTGCCCTACTTCGCTCGTGGGAGATGAAATCATGAACCCGGGATGCTGTGGGGATGTGGTTTCACCTCACACCCATGCCAGAATAACATCCTGGCTGTCACGTTTTTCTCTCTGCCAGGAAGTTGACCTTTCTGAAGTGGTTCACCAGGGTCAAAGCAGCATCAGGGCTGGCACAAGGGAATCAGTGGCAAGTAGCACCTGGCCAGGAGTGGAGCTGCCAGAGGCAGGTGGAGGGAGGGTTGTACTGAGAGCAGCTTGGCTGTAGTGTGAGCTGCACCCTCTGTCAGTCTCCAGAGGCACTTCCATCTCTGCTGATGATTTAGGTGTCTTTGTAACCGAGTTACCCAACTGGGCACCTTCTCTGTGGATGCTGCAAGTCCTGGGCAGAGCGCTTTGGGTAAGGAGCACATCTGGCCGCTGGGTCACATGGAGATGGACAGCAGCTCTAACCACATCACTCAGTTCTTTTGCCTTGAAAATGCCACTGCTAAGCCCCCAAAAGTGTGTGGACTTCTGTGAGCCTGACAGTTTAGAGCTTATCCCTTCAAAGTGAATGTAAAGACCTTCGCTGGAGTCTGGTCTCTGAATGAAACAGAAAAGGGTCCTGGAATGTGCAGGGATTTGACTGGTGTCTCATTTGGGACAGTTGTATTAATATTAATATCTGATCTTCCATCAAGAGACTGAAGTGTTTTTGCTAACACAAGGTGTAAAGAGGGAAGTGAAAGCAAGGGGGAAAGCAAAAGGCTTTATTTTGCTTTTAATTTTTTGCTTTATTTATCTATGAGCTACTCATGTAAAACTGTTTCATTTTCCAACACAGAAGTTGGAGTGATAAAAACAACCCGTGTTAAGAAAGGTAAAAAAAGGAAATTGCAGATACAGTTACAGAGAAGAGAGGGAGAAGTAAAAAAACCAAACCAATAGCATTAATCTTTGGATTAATTCGCTGGAGATACAGAGGGACAGAAGAGAAAAAAGACACAGTGAAATCCATAACATGAGCACAATTAGATCTGCAAAGCACATTATTTAATGTATTTTTTCATTTTCTAATAACTTTCTCATCATCATTCTATGCCAAGGATTATTGTTAGAGCTGAAAATTTTGAGGCATTTATGTGGATATTAAGAATAACTTTTAAAAGCGCCACGCTTATGATGGTTAAGATAAAAACAACCAATCACTTCACACCTTCCTTCCTGCCCCCAATATTTGGAAAGGATAACAACCTGTATGTTTTAAAGCATAAATCAACCTTCAGTGAAACAGGACCTGGGTTTCTCCTGAGGGGTTTTGTGTGCTTCCCTTAGTAGCATGTGGAACTGACACCAGAGTACTAACATGATGTCACTCTGACCACTCAGATCTATTATAAAACATCAGTTCCCAGATATGACAGATACGCGACCAGCAGTATCACTCTTATTCTGAACCTGGGCTTCTCTTTCTTATGCAGAACCTACATGACCTGCCTGTAAACTTTTATGACCTATTAAACTTTCCAGCCACTAGCTTTTGTGTCTGTTCACTTTAATAGGAAGCAAGAAAATGCCGTGGGTTATTTGCTCTGCTGTTCTTGAAAGTAGGAAAAATGTTTGTAGTATCTTTGTTCTTAAAAATAGATTATGACCCATTAGCCCAGCAATTCAGTGAACTGGTTTATTTTTTTTTTCCCCAATTAGTAATAAGTAAATTAGTGGATGAAGTCACTTCTACAAGCAAGTCTCAGTATACAAAGGAAAAGCAGCAATAGCTCCACTTAGTCACCCAGCAGACCAGTCATTTTTACTGACACAAACAAGATAGTGGGATTTGAAACTACAGTTTCAAATTTGAACAGAATATATGAATATATAATTTTGAAATGATATAATTTCAAAACTTTGTAGAGAAAGAAGAGAGTTTTAAAGATACAGGATTATACTGGGAATCCAGCTGGAGCACATCTCCATCTTAAAATATCTGCCTCCATCCTAGCTTGATCAGAAGGAAACCACCCATGGGATTTGAATGCAGAGGCAAATAAACACTGTGCAAAGCAGCTTTAATGCCCAGTCAGGGAGAAAAATCTTCATGTGATTCCTGAAAGGTAAAAGTGGCAAGTTTCTTGTATTTGCTAGGTTTCTGTTTGAGTTTTACCCTTTTTGAATGCTCCCTTGCTGCTGTAGGTCTGGAGAAAACTCTCAAGAAACAAAAAAGACCTCTGAGCAGCCTTCTGCTGAAGCAGGGCATGGCATATGCTTTCTTTTGGTCACCAAGTGTAGCCATCTGAAGTTCAGGTAGGTTTTTTGCTAGAAGCAACCACCTCTGCGTCAGTGGTTACACTAATCTCCAACTGCAAGACACTCGACAGAGAGTACTGTGATGAAGTAAGTAATCCCTGTCTTGACTAGCACTGGTTAAAACAAGCTATAAAGCATTTGTAGGCTGGAAATAGCTGTTGTAAGGAAGCAGCAAGACCTTGGGATTAGTTGTACACCCTTAATATTTAACTCTACACTGCAGATATAAGCAACCTTATTAAATAAAGATTTTTGTCAGAAGAGAGAAGATATTAATCATTTGCCATTCAGGAGGGGAACTCAGCAATAATGTCTGATGAGAGGAAGGTGTTTGATTTGTCTTGTGATACACTGTTCATAGAAGTGAACTCTCAGCAACTAGAGAGCTTAAATACCTGTCTGTGGGCGTTTGCATAGATCCACACATCCACTTTCCCTGTACTATTCTGTAGTACTACTAAATGTACTATTTTGCTGAAATAAGCAGCTGTGAATGAACTGTCACATAATTCAGGGTTGACAAAGGACATCGCTTAAAACTGTGAAACCCATGAACTGGGTTTCTTAGTGCCGTGTTGCGCTACCTTGTGAGGAACTACAGAGGAGAGAAGAATGCCAGGTGGGAAAGAGAGAAATGTATAAATGAAAGCTCCCGCTACAGGGTTTAAAATCATCTTATTCAACACATCTAAAAGTAGGTAAAACTACATGCATGTCATATGTAGTAGATAGGAGAAGTTCACAGGTGAAAATGAGACCCCTCAATCCCCCTGTACCAGTGGACTTTTTTTCCCCAGTTTCATGATCTGGAGACCATGACTCACGATTTTGGGACTTTTTGACATGGCAAATTTTCTTTGTCTTCTCTGAGAGCATTGAGAGCAGCTGTTGCAGGGCAGATTTACTCCCTGGTACCTACCAGCTTGTCTAGAAAAGGTCGCACAGCCAGAGTAATGGCTTTGTGGCCAGGAGAGCCATCAGGAACCCCAGAACTGCTGTCACAAATTTAAGGCTAAACTATAAAGCCTGTCAGACCAAAAGGCTGAGACAAGCATAGGTTTTAGAGCAGAGCCAGTGTAAGTGACCAGCTGAGA